CTGTTATTATCATCGAAATTTCGCTGTTGTGTTTTAAATAAAATTTTCTCAATTAAAAGTTAAAGAGGTGTTGTCGTTGTTGATGTTGATGCTGCTGCTGCTGTTGTAGTTGTTGTTGTCGTTATTGTTGTTGTCGTTGTAGTAGTAGTAGTTGTTGTTGTTGTTAATGTTATATTCAATCTCACAGAATATTGGCAAGCTTTTGGCGACTTATGTGCTTTCGGAAACATAATTTTAACTATAATACATTCGAAATTGAAAAGCTAGTGTCATTTGAAAATTTTGCATTTGGTCTAAGTATGATTGTTTGGACCATGTCAAACATATCTACAGGTCGGCTGCCTATTTAACTGATTTCAACATCTTTCCGATTATTCAAAAGTGTTTAATTCATACTGAATTACATATGTTAATCGATGAAAGTTTTAAATTAGGAGTGTTTATCAGCTAAAGGTAGCATTAATATACGACATATATCAAATGCATAGTCATGGGTTAGGGTTAGGGTTAGGGTTACTCTGACCTCTGATATTAAGGCAACTGAAATATTCTACAGTTGCACAACGAGACCTAATCTTTTTCATTGGAAAGATTTTTGACATTCTAAAGTGCGTTATGTATATTAAATTACGTTTTTTCATAAAAGCGCCATCGGAGATTATTCGTTATTTATGAATGATGATCCATCATTTGTTTGCACTGACTTTAAAACCTCGGATGAATGTTGTTTGCCGAACGTGTGTTGCCTGCCTAGCGCTCTACACACACACACGTACATCTGTCTGTCTGCCATCTCGTACACGAGTATATGTGTGTATGTCTTTGTGTGTGTGTACGTGAGTGTGTTCATGCATGTATGTGTTAGTCTGTAGTATATACAATGTGGGAGTGTGTGTGTATATGTTTGGTTGTACGTGAAACGTCACATACATGCCATTGCTATGCGTAAGTATCGGCAACATAGTAACTCTTTGTTTGCAAATATTAAAGTTAATTGGTCAAACTAGTGACTTTTGAATTCTCGTTCATGTTTGTGTGTGTGTGTGTGGTGTTGTGTGATTTGGTGTGTGGTGTTGTGTGTCGTGTGGATTGGGTGTGTCGTGTAGTATGGCGTTGATTTTTTTTGTATGTACAGTACATGTGTTAGAGAGATTTCATTTAACGACACATTCAAGTGTTTGTTTGTATGGGGTTTTACCTAAGTTTAGCGATTTGTCATAAATGTGCGAGTGCGTGTGTGTACGTGTGTGTTTGTGCGTGTGTATGTGCGTGTGTATGTGCGTGTGTGTGTGCGTGTGAAAGTTAGTCGAGGTTTCAATTCATGTTTGTCACGTCCCATACGCTAATACCGTTGGTATCATTAGCGTTGATAATATTATTATTTCTATTGATGTAGGTTTTTTTTTAAATTTTTTATTAATTGTTCTTTCGTTATTACAATTATTAGAGAAATAGTCATGATTGACAATACAAAAAGGTTTCTACCCAGTAATAATAATAACAATAATAATAATATTATTATTTATTATTATTATTATTATTATTATTATCATAAATGTATAGTAATTACTATTTATAAAACTACCGTTAAAAATGGAAATCGATTATGACTGTCGATAATTGTAATTAATTACTCTGGTTATTACATTTTCACTCTCATTTCAACTAAAAACTTTTCTCTATAATTAATTTTTTTTAAAATGTTACTAAAATACGTAATTGAATTTACATAAATTATGAATAAGTTGAATATAGTTAAAGTATAAAACGAAAAAAAAAATGTCTGGTATAGCCTTGAAGAGGTACTAAACTTAAGTTTTGACACAAATGCTACGGCCACAATTGAATGAAGCATATAAAGTACATACAAACATGACGACGTGGAATGAGATGACATCAAATTACGTCTTATCACAACAAATGCATATTTATCTTCTTAGCAGTTGACAAAACCAACAACAGCAATGACAATAACAACCTAAAAAAGGATTTAAACACCTACAATAGCGAGATAGCATTAACTACAAAACATGTTTTAACACAACAGCTATGACATCAATGACAACAACAAAAACAGCAGTAGTGACATCAACAAAAAATTGATCATGACACATGTCAACTACATTTTCGTTTCATTTCACGTCACCGTCATCACGTGACTCACATTCATAATTCTTACTATTAAAAAATGCAATGATAATGCTAGTCTATCTTTTTTGCTACATACATATCATTTGTTATACCTACAAAACTACCCATAGACACACAAATGCGCACATACATACACAGGCATACATGCATATATACACACGCACGCACACACATTCATACATAAATTCACACACGTCCATAATATACACACACACACATCCATGCAATCCATTTTTTATGTTACAAGGACTTTAATTGACCTTTCATTCAAGTTTGTGACCTCTTATTAATATATTTTGTTTTATTTTCTAAAAATGACAAAAGAATAACAAAGCAATAACAATAATAGCAACAATAATAACAACAAGAAGCAACGAAAGATAACAGATAGTAAAAGGTTATTTGGGTGTGTTCGTATTAGGGTGCTTACGTTTGTAGACGATTGTAGTAGTAGTAGTAGCAGTAGTAGTAGTACTAGTAGTAGTAGTAGTAGTAGTAGCAGCAGTAGAAGTGGTAATAGTAGTAGTAGCAGTAGAAGTGGTATATTAGTGGCAACATTATGGTGTTAAAAATAATACTATTACTAATGGTAGTAGCAGTAGCAGCAGTTGTATTACTACTAGTAGTAGCAGCAGTAGTAGTAGCAGTAGAACACAGTAATAGAATCCAAGGTACTCTACCTATTAATATATTATATTTATGCCGTCTTATCTTTTGCACTGGTCTATTTATATGAGCAGCCTCTTAACCATATGGGATCAATGGATGAATGGATAACAAAACACTTTTATTTCTACTATTTTTCTATCAATATATATATATATTTATACATATATATCTGTGGTTTTTAATAATATATATATATATATATATATATATATATATTTTCGGAAATTTTAATGAAAACAACTGGTGGTGTGAGGTAGGTAATCTACTCCTCTATCTTTCTCAGGGAATTTTTGTATGGTCCGACAATAATTTTTGTGTATATTTTTATCGTGAGTTCGACCAGTCCTGTGTGGCACTGGGCTTTTTCGAATTATATGATTTTACTGAGTAACACACGAACGCGTAAAAATATTCGATAACAATTTTATTAATCGACGGAAGTAAATGAAAAGGAATTGAACTAAATGAACTCTATAATAATGTAAAATGTCAATGAACAAACTGGAATACGGGAATTAGAACTTCTTGTTGGGTCTTCGACTTGGGATATGTTTCTTGCCATTTAACCGTACAACCTCGACGTGTGTAACCGATAGTGATGTCATTACAACTCCAAGAAATAAATAAAATGAATGCGGAAAAATTACAAAAATCGGAGCCTATGGAAATTCCAAGCTGAGTGTGAAACTATACCAATGAGTATAGAATCCAGCAAAGAACCCTAGGTCCACAAATAGCACAAGAACCAAAACAACGATTCGTTTTCACAGAATCCAAGGCCTGTTTTCACTGGGCTTGTTAGTCAGTCGGTCGGCTTTCGCACAACCCTGGCCTGTTTTCACTGGGCCGTCGAGTCTGGTTGGCTTTCGCACGACCAAGGGCCTGTTTTCACTGGGCCTGTCTGTCAGTCGGTCGGCTTTCGCACAACCCTGGCCTGTTTTCACTGGGCCGTCGAGTCTGGTCGGCTTTCGCACAACCAACACAAAACAACAAGAGTCAGAACAACACTGGAAACAAATTGTGTGACTTTAGTACACATGCGAAACTATGCCAATGAGCATAGAGTCACGTACCAAATCCACTTTTGAGAACTTAAGACGTTACTGAAACTATGCCAATGAGCATAGAATCACGAATTAAGTCTCTTAGATACCAGAATAGGCACCGATTATTCGAAGCTGCCTAACTGGTGAACCCAAGGCGGATTCTTTTTGAGAACTTAAGACGTTTCTGAAACTATGCCAATGAGCATAGAATCACGAATTAAGTCTCCAAGGTATGTCCAATTAATCAAAAAAACTACTAATTAAATTTTAAAATAATTTGTAATAATTTATGACGTCATCTAAATTGCAAAACAAAAAAAATCGTCGTCACCTATCGAGTAAATTAACTTGCACCATGCCCCCTATCGAGTGAATAAATTTTGCGTTGAAAACTTTGAAGTATTTTTAGTCAGTATTATTTCATAATTCTGACAATATATATATTTTATTTATTTCCATATAAATTAAACTTTACTTATTTATTTAGCTATTTGTTCATATATATATATATTTTTTTTTTAATTAATTACATATAAATATATATATATATATATATATATATATATATATATATATATATATATATATATATATATATATATATATATATATATATTGAATTAAGACTGTCAGAAAGACAATTATTGATGAAATGTGATTTGATAATTACTATTTATTGAAAAA